CAGGAATCCGGCCAGAAACTGGCCGGATTGACGGCCGGATTGTGGAGGGTTTTGGAGAACATTTTGGATTGCTCTCGGCCTAGTATCCGGCCGAGAATCCGGCCGGAAATCCGGCCAGATTCCGGCCGGATTCTGACGTAGCCTGCACTATTCATCTTCGGCAAATTTTTCGTTTTTTTTTTATTTGACTCTTTTGACTTGTTTACGTGCAATGGGATGTTCCGGAACGTTATAGATTGACGTAAACTGTACCGTAGTCCTGGCGAGAGCTGGGCAGGCAATCCGCTAACCCCTTTGGTTCGCCTTAGGGGAAAGTGGGGCTGTCACAGTACTTTATCGCACTTTTCCTAATGTAATTTCTTACTGTTTACTTGTTATTATTGACTTGATATACATGTGTACAACTTGAATACTACCTGGGATTCTCATCCTATTGGTTAGTCAGTCGAATCGAGTCAATAACGGCTTGGTCGAGGAGACTGGCGAACCATAGTTACTGTTTATTGTTTATTGTTTATTGTGTAATCCTTTGGATATGGTCCACTGGATTCAATATACTTGAGTATTACCATCACTCTTAATTTGGAGTTCGGGCCTGGTAGGGCGTTGATTAGTAGATGAAATTTGGTGTAAAGTGGAGATCTACGGTCATGGTTTTGCTTCTTTAAACGTTGACGGAGTTTCAACGGGTTCGAATCAAGTAATGCAACGGGAATTTGGCTCTTGAGAGCCATCTATATCCTTATACTTGGAAATGTTGTATATTTAGTCAATTTGTTACTTGTAGTGTTATTGTTTCTTTTTATGAACTTGTACGCTCGCTCATTTTGAGATCTCAAGTTTTACATAATGACCAACTTGCTACTTGGGTCTGCATGAAGTTTTGGAACCTCACTGAGCTTTGCCTCACCCTATTAGTTTTGTTTTCCTTACAGGGGAATACGAACACGGGCGTGAGGCTGGTACAGGCTAGCGTTGTCTAGTATTTTGAATTTTTGTGATTGTACTCGCACTAGTGCTTGATTAGGGTTGGAAGTTAGCTGGAACTTGGATCTTTTGTTATATTTGGAAATGTATGAACGTTTGAGATAGAAATGAGTATAAATGTACTTTCTAAACTTGGGAACTATTGTTTCCTTTACTTTTGAAGTTGTAACTTATTTTTTTGAAGTGAGTGAGTGAGTCCCGACAAGAGTTGGGCAGGCGGTCCGCTAAACCCTAGGGTACGCCCTGGGGAGAGATGGAGTCGTCACACTTTCTCCTTATAAATATTTAGGTTTTGGCAAAATTTTAGCTTATATATCCCTACTAAGGGGAACTCAAATACCCTAAGCAATCTAAGTTCAAATCAACCAAGAATCACCTCTTAAGTTCCGTTTCCGCTCGCTTGGACTTCAAGAAAAAAAAACAGACAGCGTTTCCTTTGTCTTTTCCCAATTTTCTAGCCATTTTCAAGGCAACATTTTCATATCAAATCAGCCCAAATCAATACCACAAGTAATAAGATGAATTCGGTTCTCATACTAGCTATAAAATCATCCAACTGAAGCTCATTTCTAGCCTATATACATCACAATATCAAAGCTGAAAAATTCCCCAGTAAAGCTGAAATTATAGAACTAAAGCTGAAATTTTCTATTTAGAAGCTAAAAAGTCACAATAAACTACCAATCACCACACAAGTCCATAACCAAGCTCAATACCAACATATCATGGATGAACAACATAAATCAAAGTTGAAAATCATAAACCCTAGGCTGAAATTTCACCAATTTTCATCAAATCTAGGCTATCATCCATAAAATTTCAAGTTTCAAGCCATCTTCACCATAAATTGCAAAATAAAAAAGAGAAAGGAAGTTGTCCAACTTAGTACCTTCAAAACCCCTTGAGAAAGTGAAGAACCAAAGCTTCCTCTCCAAAAACTCTCTATTACAAGCTTCCTTACTTCCTTGAAGCAACTTTGTTCAGTTTAGTTTTGTGATTCCAACTCAAACAAGGTAAGAATCAAGATGAAGTTGGTGGTTTTTTCTTCTCTCTTTTCCTCTCCTCACTCTCGGTCAAGAAGATGAAGAAATGAAGGAAATTTTGTGCTAGGAAAGATAAGAATGGAAGAAAGCTTCTTGGTCAAAGGTTACATAGATGGCCAACACTTGGCAAGCTACCAATTTTCCTCTTGTTTTTGTTTTTTTTCCTCTTGTTTTTTGGTCAAAAATTTCGGCTAGCCTTAGGGTTAAATTAGGGAAGGATAAATGATAGGAAAAATAAGAAGATTAGGGTAAGAAAGTATTAGTCAAGTGGTGTCTTTGACCGGTACAAACGGCGCAAGTCGGTTCAAGCTTACTTTCTTAACTCTCTTGTACTTTTGTTTTAACTTATGGTTCACTAACTTACTCTTAGCACTTTTTAATCACATACTTTCTCTTGCCTAATACCCATTCTTATCCACTAAATTTAGTACACACACCTCACCAATCGATCACACTACACGAATACGCCAAAATCCTAGCTTACACTAATGATAAAAGTAAAAGTAAAATTTTCGATTCTATTATTTATTACAACTATTGAGGGAGCAAATTAGTGGTAAAGAATTTATAAATTAACTTATTCAAAATAAAAAAGGATTATAAGGAAAATATAGGTGAATTTTCAAGTCCTCACACTTCCACTTAATACTAAGAATTTCGAGTTATACTTCTACAAATAGCCAGACATGAGATAATTTCTCTTTCATAAGAGGTGGTAAATCCTTATATATTATTCACTATCTTTTCCATACTTCAAGTATATACCAATAAGCTAATGATGTGAGGATTCCCTATTATGAAAACAATTATATAACAAATATACGTCCGTACTCAAGATACCATAATAACTTTAAATCTAGGGATCACTTACACAAATGTTATTTAGAGATTAATCCTTTGGCACTTAAAAGATATCTCTATGCAGATCAATCTAGTGAATTTGATCACTCTATCAAGTAGTAATATATTAATTTAGGTATGTCACACACTATAGTAGATGAGTTCTACTACTTCTTAAATAGAAGCGATATAGTATATGCTAGTCTAACCATATTATTTAAGTCATGTGATTATTGTATTAGTGGTTGTGATGCATGTTTGTTTAGTGGTTCTAGTATGTTTTGGGGTTGTGTTAAGGGCATGCAAATGTAGCATGGTGTTCATTAATTTCCTACTTATTATCAATCAGGTGAGTTTAGTGCTTATAATTCTTTCATTCCTACTTATACCTCGTTTTTTGTCTTTGACCCAGGCATTGATTTGAGGCCAAATCATTTTCATGGGAGAAGGAATGGTAGAGATATTAGAACTAATCTTTGGCGAATGGAACATGTGCATTGGTTCGTGTTTATGATCAAGTTGAGTTGGCGACATGCTTATTGGATCGCTTTTATGCAAACGTTCCCCGATGTGCTTCACTATAAGCAAGGCAACGATTTAAGGACAAATCTTTTCAAGAGAAGGGGAATGATATGAGTCCTAAGAGTTGATTGGGCACTCTTTCAAGGTCCGACAATGGTTCATTGGGGTCCAATAAATAGGGGTAGGATCAAGTCGTTCAAAATTCAAAATTTGGTGTTTTAAAGCATCAATTTGGTTCGATTTGGTTCAATTTGATGTTGGCACGAACTAGGGATTGTGCATGTGGAACTTAGAAGATATGCATGAGGATCGAGGTCGAAGGAAAAAACAGAAAAAAGAAGTAGAAGCGGATTCGCGGATTAATCTACGAGGAACAGGTCCATGGATCGGTTCGCAGATCACTTCTTTATGTCTTTTTCTTACTTCTCGTCTCATGTTCTAGCAATGTCTAGTGCCATGTCTGGTCCCATGTTCCGGGCCGATTTTTGTCGAGTCAAAATTTTCAATTTTTAGCAATTTTCATAGTTTTTAAGTTATTTTCTATTTCATCGCATCCGATTGGTTCTTGTAAGCCTATGAAGGCATATTTAGCATATCTAGACGCAAATATTAGTATAAGCCTAAGAAGGCATAGTTAACATATCTAGACATAAATATTAGTATTCTTAGGGTTAGGGACTTATGTCTTATTAGGAAACTTAGGCTTTTCCAAACAGGTTTAGGGTTTTATGATCTTGTAAGGCTATATATAAGCCTAGCTTGCAACGTTTTCTTAAGTTAAGTTGAAGATGAATAAAAAATTGAGAGGTTTCTCTTTCTTGTTCCTTGGGAACGTCCTTGATACAAAGTGAGTGTTTTCTTTGTTCGAGTTTAACTTATCAAATCAACAATTATAGTTGGTTGTGGCGCCGTTCTACCTTTCTAGTCAATCTCGAGTTATCCTTGATTGTTTAGAATCCATCTAAATTGTTTCATAACCTGATCAAGATAGATCATTCCGTTGCCTGATTGAATCGTTTCTTCAAGAACGAGAATTTGGAGATTCGAGTTCACATCATGATATTTTCTGGTTGCCTTTCCATTCACTCTCTATTTCCTTTTGCACTAACTCAAAATCACCAATGATGCTTTGCCTTTACTTGCCACCAATAATATTTCTCGGTACCTTCTCTAACTCATTATTTAAAGCTTGGAAATGCTTTTTTTTTTTTTCAAAGATTGAAAAGCATTGTTTTCAAGTGGGACGCTTTACTTGAGTCACTTCAGAGCCTCACGAGATTAAGCAATATATATTTTTTGAATTTACCTAAGTTCATTTTTTAGTGGATGAGTCTCTCTTTTATTTTTAATTATGAAAATTGCCTATTACATCCTTGTTTTGTCTTACCACCCTAGCACTTAACCTTATAATGGAACCATAATTTTGTCAACCTATAGGTACTCTTTGGGATACGAGTGACTTAGACATTACGTTATAACTTATATTTGCTTACTTTTGTTGGTCAAATAGTCGATGACTTCTAACCATTTGTTTTAAATTTTCATATCTCTTTATGAAATAGGAAGACACTTCGGAATTTTCCTAGTACAATGCTAAAATTCACAGTGGGGAAGCAAAGTAAATTTTGGTAATAATGTGAGGGTGCATATTGCAATTAATTAGAATTTTCGATCACAATACTAAAATTCAGTGTGTCAGTGTACAGTGTAGGAGCAAAGTAAAATTTGGTTATAGTCCAAGGGCGCATGTTGCAATTAATGTTTCAACTGTTATCTCTCCATGTTTTCCCTCTTACGATTCGTCATTTGAATTTCAGCCTAAAATCTGTTTGCCATTTGAGTTCAGTATTAAAAGCCCAAATTTCATTGCAGCAAAAAGTCGAACAGATATGGCGGATTCGACAAGGTTCGAAGTGGAGAAGCTCATCGCATATAGCCACGAACTTGTCGACTTCCTGAGGGAGGACGGGGACAACATCACTCTCAAGCAATATTTCCAGCAAGCCCAATCTCTCCACTCCCGTGCCCACGCCGATTTCAACGGCCTGCAACGTTCCATACAAGGTCCAATTTCTTCCTCGAAAGAATAAGATAGGATGTTACGCTTGCAATTTTGATTATTTGTTGACGAACCAAGTATGGTTTTCCCATTTTTACTAAAAGTGAATTGGGGCATGTTTTGCCAATTAACAGCAATAAGGTTTGAATTTTACCTCCTGCTAGTTTGCCTCTGGAGTTTTAGGTGATGGTTGATGTGGATTAGGGCATTTTCAGTAAATGTAATTTAGGGCACGATTTTTCCTGTTATACTGATAAAGTTCGAATTTTGCTTGCATTTGACGGTTGATGATTGGTTTGTTAATGTATAATTTGTCATGCAATTTTTTGGCTGATTTTGTGAGACTGAATTTTTAGCTAATTTGCTGCTTGGACTTGGTTAAGTTGCATTTCGCTAGTGGTCTGGAGTACTAATCACTGAAACACAATCGATTGAATTGCTTTTCCAAAATTGAACTCGCTGTATATGTGCATTGACAACATTTCACATGTTTAATTTGATTGCATTTTCACTCTTCGGTTGAAGTGTCCTTTTGACTATCTGTTACTTTAGATTCTTTTTGTTTCTCTCTATATTTGTTGGTCAGCGTCAGTGTGGTAGATGACAGCTTCTCAGGTATTGCTACTTAGATGAGTTTACTTGAAACAGAATGTCAAACAAAGCTAGAAATATGCAGAAGCAAAACTACAGAAGCAAATTCCACTGTAGTTGCAGATGAAGAATCAGATTTGCTAGCCAAGGAGCTGGAAGAAAGAGAACATCAGCTGAGGGATGAGCTTAGATAAGTATCTCTTCATTTCAGTGAAATCCTCCATTTTTTGCTCTGTGTCGGTGGTATTGATTTCAGATTCGAATATCAACACAGTGATTATAGATGAAATTAATAATCTTGAGCAACAGAGCGAATCTATTGAAGAACGAAGAAAATCACTGAAGAAACTTGAGCAAGAGGACCTGAGGAGAGAGTAAGTTGATGGAGAAATTTGGATTTACATTTATGTGTTAATCTTGCTTTGCAAGGTTTTTTGAGTTTTATTTACTCTTGGATGTATTTTGTGTGGTAGATTAATTTTTTTGGTGACATAATGTGCAGCAGTATATTAGCTCAACTGTACTTGCTGTAGATATTTATAATTCCCTTCTAGTGTTAGATCAGAGTTCAAAAAAATAGTTGTTATAGTTTTTCTTTTTGTCATCTCAATCTTTCAGTTCTGTTGATTTATCCCCCCCTAAGATGTGGATATCTGCAGGTTCCTCTGATTAGTCTTAGATATTTGAAGGAAGAATTTACCGAACTTTGACTATTGTTATTTCAAGCCTGTTTGGTCATTTTCCATTCTGCATAATTCATGCAACATAAGCAGTTGATTTAGTTGTTTGTTAATTTTTAGTCTTTGCAAGCATATGTAGTATATTGTCTTTTATGTTCTAATAATGTATTACGCTACTGTGTTCCTTTGTAAGCACTTTAAGAAGAACAAACGCATTGTTAAATTTTTTTTCTTGGATTTTGTTATGTAGAAAATTATGTTTCTTTTGTTTGCTTGTCTCATGTGCTGTTAAACGTTCTACTTATTTCAAATGTTTGTTGAGATTTTAAAATTGCTGATATTCACTTCTTTTCATCTTGTAGGATGAAATTATCCATGTATGCTTCTGTCACTAGCATTGTTCCAAACCTGGACGATCAGTCCAAAATATCTGGCCGTATCCTTCCAATTGTCTTTGGTATCTGTTTGGTAATTTCTCACTTTGTATATTGATTACAAGAAGGCTTCTTTGCTTTGGTCTGCACACTTTCCAATTACAGTTGTTTTACCCTTTATTTAGTCAATTCAGATATTGTGGAGAGGGAGGAAAAAAGAGTAGAAAAGTTTGAACTCGATCCGGTGAAGCAGACTACCTTTGAGACTTGCAATGGCATCTGGAAGATGATAAACTTGTGATAAATCTGAGTTGTTTCCACATTTAAGTCTGTTTGCAGTTTATATATTTATGTTTTGGCTCGTTGCCCAGTATGAAAACTTGAGCTCTTGGAATCCTGAAGTTGGAACCCATTTGGCTTGCAGCTAATGGCTTGGTTTGAAAATTCAGTTTCCTGGAACTTCGTTTGTTTTGCAGCTTCATGACTTTAGTTTCAAAGCTCAATGTCCTGCATCTTTCTATTACTATTGTGTTTTCCTACATTGGAAAAGCTGAGCCTGGAGACTTTTTGGTTCTTTTCCAGTGCTGTGTGCTGCATCGTATTTGAAGTGTTGTATTTTTGCAATGAATGCAGATCTGTGACTATTGGTTTTGTCAATCAGATTGTTAACATAATTTGCATTGTCTAAAAACGATTATCATCCCTCTGTAGCATTATCTTTATGATAGAAAGATGACTAATTTAATACATTTGAATTGTCTCTATTCAATTCTCTTTTCCAAAAGAACTAGTGTGCTTTGTGATCTTTTGTGACAGAGGCCAGAATGGGGCTTATTGACTCGTGAGTAAGATTTGTTTATGAATGTTCCAACAACTAGGCTTCAGTTCCAAGTGAAGAAGCAAAATACATGTTTCACTAGTTATGTATCTCTTCTTAAGTTGAAATTCTTAGCAAATTTACAGACTACAGTACCAGGAAGCTCCTGTCGTGTGATGAAGTTAATCTTCATGGACTTTGACAGTTTGACCTACAAAATGGGTGGATAAAATGATCAAAGCTATCTGTGCAGTAAAACGCAAGATATCAAGTTCACTTTCCTTCCAGGTATCAGTATATTATTATGTTGAATTTCACGCATACAGCTTGCTATCATATGTGGGGACTACTCTAGGAGGCCATTAATAAAGTACAAAGTGTGTGTTGAACAATATGTATCGGTAGCAGAAGCATCCTGAGTATAATTTCTACTTACATATGCTAAAAGTGTAATACATAATTCTTTCACTGCAAAGAATACTATATATCAGGTTATTAGTTCAAGAGAAGATATCTGGTTGCAGTTATATGCTTGGCCATTGGGTGTTTGTAAACTGCTGCAGTTTGGAGAAGATGAATTATAAAGTGGAAGAGATGGAAACAGGAAAAAGCAAGAAGAATGACATTGTACTGTTGGTAGCAGCTGGGAGTGTAGAGGCAGGGATGCAAGAAGGCAAGAATACAGAAGAAAAAGGAGTCTTGAGACAGATATGGTATGTGTCACTGTCACTGTAATTTATTGATACTGAGTTTCGTAATATCGATTAGTGGTTTACTGGGGCCTTCTCTTAACTTGAATGATGTTACTATGGTCAATAACAACCTTTTTCAATAGGCTGAAGGGTAAAATAGCCATATTATGTTTAAAATGAGCTCCATACATCCTGAACGAATAAGGTCAATCTAATTATGCAAGTGAGTTATTTATCAAAATAGATCAGTACCTTATGGAATGCCAGTATGATTTACCTAGTTAATAGATCAAGCCATGAGGCAGGCTTTAAAAGGCCACTCCCTGGACACTTGAACAATCCCCAGTAATTGGAACTTAATCAGTTGACCATCCCAATTTTAAGTTAATGCCTTTCATGTACACGGTAATTATGTGATTTGAGTTTGACAAGAGAATTTTTTAAGTGCTCTAGTTGATCATTTTTTTCTGCTAAAAGCATGTTACTGTGCGTGAGATCTACTAGTGATTTAGTTGCATTTGTTCTGAGCATTGAATCTCTAAGACAAGGAGAATTCCTAAATTTTAACCTAATGGGATGGCTTGAAAAAGTGGCGATCTCCATGATCTTTATCTCAGGCCTAGGAAAAATAGAGTTCATATGTTTGAAAAAAAAAATTTCTTCTTAAGTTTGAAATAGCTAACAAAATTGAAAATTAGTATAAGGGTATAAAAAAGAGTAAATATGAGAATATTATGGTAGTGAAACTATTATTAAATGGTAGTGAAACTATTATTAAATTCGCATAAGAGTTAAAAAGCTCATATATAGTGCTAATGTAGATTTCTATCAAAAAGTTAAAGCCAGTAATATGACTTCAATAAAGAACTTGACCTGTTGTTGTCTTGTTGAAAAATAATTTTATTTATGGTCAAAATAAATTTGCTTTCCTTTCCTAATTTACTAAGTCTCCATTCATTGCATGCTTCATGATTAACACACTATCTGATGTGAACTATAACATTCTTCAATTGGTCAGCCTGCTTTAATCGTTTTCTGCATTTGCGGAATCTTCAATATGAAGTGTCTTGTAAACACATTATGCATAGTAGCATAAGCGACCAAATTACCTTTCGTACATACTTCGTGGTCTATACATCTTTTAACAAACTAGTCTTTAAATGACATTTTCTTTTTCTTATCTATAAGCTACAGAAGAAAGAAAAGAAAAGCCGAACTCAAACTGACAAGATTGGAACTGATGTAACTGATTGCCAACAAAAAGTAGTATTCAAAAAGTCGGGCAGAATACAAGGGAAAATGCTCTTCCAAAAGGACAAATTCATGGATTGTTTTTGGTATGGGCACATTTTTCCCACCTTACTAGTGAGCTAAAAGGAACATGGACACATCTTTTGTAGTACATTAACATCCATCGGATGGGATGAATTCTCATTTTAAGATGACTTGTTGTCTGAAAGAAGCTAGAAACATTTATAGATAATGGATGAGCATGTGCCCTTAGCAAGAATTCAACTTCTTCTTAGATCAGTTGCCTTAGCTTTAATCGCTCTTTCTCTTTCACCTAGAACTGTGGCAGCTAAGCCACAGTTTGCAGCTATGTTTGTATTTGGTGATTCGTTAATTGATCCTGGAAACAACAATGATCTTAACTCCTTGGCAAAAGCGAATTATGTTCCTTATGGTGTGGATTTCAATGGAGGAGTACCGACTGGCAGATTTTGCAATGGAAAAACCATCATAGATTACTTGGGTAATTATGACCATTAACTTTTGACTTTAATTTTCAGCTTTAGAAGGTTATGTAAAACCGAGGTAGATTAGCAAATGTTACACCCACACCCACACCCACATACAACGATAAAATAGTTGTTTGAAATACCAAAATAAGACTCTCTATACCCATTGGTTCACTGGAAGGAAATTATGAAACGCTCTTTTCACTTGTCTCGCATCAAGGTTTGATTGTTGATACTTCCTACGTTGCAGAAAAAGCTCACTGTGAAATTTTTGGATGAAAATTTTTGCAAGTCTTTTTCCTCCCAGTAGTAATGGGAGGGCTCTTAGAGTCCTTTATGTCAAATTCAGGGTTAGGATTTTGGACCTGACTATTGAAGGTGGGAAGGGTGGGAGAAGGGGTGGGAGGGTGGCAAGAACATACAAAATTTTTTTCCCTCATTGTCTTTCATAGCTTTTAATCAGCAAAACTTGGCTACCTTCTTTTTTGGAGAACAAACAAAAAAGAAAACAGAGAGACGAAGACACCTCAAATGCTGATTCTTTTTCTAGGACAATTATAATTGAGAAATTGATTAAAATTTATTTTTTCCTACGAGAATTACAATTCGAATGTTATATCTAGAATAAAGACCAAATCTAGAAACCAAAACACATAAATGAAGAAAAGGAAAATATATTTGCTACGATGAAAACTATCACCTCAAAAAAAAAAAAAAGGGAAGAACTAAAGTAGAGGATTCAATCAAGTATTACATGAAAAAAGTTCAAGAGGTAAAATCTTATGCCATTCTTGCAAAAATCATACTTTATGCTATTGATTAGGCAATAGATTTTTCTCAATTGGAAATTTAGCTTCATGAACACAAAAAAGTAGTTTACTCTTTTCCTGATGAAGTATGTTAAAACGTGGTATTGCTCTACTAATTTATTCAACTCCTGGTTATTTTCCCCTTGCTTCCGAAGGAGACTTGCTGGAACTTCCTTTACTTCCACCGTACACGAGTTCATCTGTTAATAGTGGAAACATTGTTGGGGGAGTGAATTATGCCTCTGCTGCAGCAGGCATTCTTGAGGAGACGGGACAAAATCTTGTAAGCTATTGTTTTTCCCTTCTCTTAAAAGAAAGGAATATGGAACCTGTTGATTACACATCTGAAATAAAACCTAAAATTCGTCTTCTGGTCGTGTTTGTGCCCTTAATAGAACCAGAAAAAAAATATTCAATAATTTTTAGATGCCTTTTAGTCGTAATATGGTACTCCAATTGGAAAAAGAAGTACATTAGTCATTTCTCACATGAAATCTGCTCATAATTGCAATGGTTATTAGTAAATACTTTTAACTAAAGATATAAGATAAAAGTGCAACTCCTATTTCCTATTTCAGAGCGGGTAGCTAATAAAGTTCATGTAATATTGGTTTGATGTATTTCACCCTACACTTTTTCTTGTATGTGGTAAATTGTACAGGGTGAAAGGTTCACGTTAAGTGAACAAGTCCAGAACTTCGACAACACCTTGAATCAACTTAAGGGCCAAATGAATGAGCAGGAGTTGAGTCACTATTTGGCCAGTTCCTTGGTTGTAATGATCCTTGGTAGTAATGACTACATAAACAACTATCTACAACCTTCATTTTACACCACAAGCTATTTTTATACTCCTGAGGACTATGCTGATCTTCTCATTCAGCGTTACAGAAGGCAAATATTGGTAAGAGTGTCAGAAATTCACTTCAATTGTTTGATTAATTCAAAATAGGGCTTTACAAAAGATTGTTCAACTAAACCATAATTGCCCTCTGTGGGAAACTTAGTGACTTGTAAGAGTTTGCAATTCAAAGCTGGGATGGTCAATTGGCTTGTGCTATGTTCAAACTTGCAGTGAAATATATGGTTATCATCTGACACTAAAACATGTATAAATTTCAATATGGAACCTATAGACGCCCTCGCACTTTAGTCATTAGATTTCAATATTAGACACTTTACTCCGTAAAGTATGAAATCCATCATACTTTAATCCTTAAATTCTAGTAATTTTGAATAATTATACCTTAAAATATAAAATTCATCCCACTTTATTACTTAAAATTTGGGCATCAATTGTCTACTATTCCATTAGTTTTGAAGTTTTATGAGAAATTCTTCATACTTTAGGAGTTGAAATGTCCAAAATTGAAGTTGAAGGGCTAAAATAGAATAAATTTCATACTTCAGAAAGTAAAGTGTCCAAAATCAAAGTTTAAGGCCAAAGTTGTAGTGCATCTATAGTTCATGGGTCCAAATTGGAGTTTAACCTTAAAAAAAATAAAAGATGTTTAGACATTAATTTCTTGCTTGCTTGAACATCAAGCCCAAAATTCTGCTCGTGGTTTCTGCCATTAACCATCTCTAAGTACAAATTTAA